AAAGTAGGCAATTATATACATATAAAAGGTGATTTACCTCAATTTTTTGTATTTGAAAAATTTACGATATAGTTACGATTTTCTTCTATATACAATAAAACTCTTCAATATGGAAGAATTTAGTTTTTCTTTACTATTATTTTAAGGTTATGTAATATTCAAGTGTATTGTTTTCTTCTTCAGGTTATGTTTACTTTGAAATTTATTGCGAACCATATGTTATGATACTACTTACACCTACTTACTTTGGAAAATAGATGGATTTATTTATGTGTAGAAAAAATTATACTCAACATACGGATGGGTCATTATGGGGCTTATGCTTATGTACTATATGAATGTTGAATTGAACATATTAAATATGTACAAATAAAAACAAAATTTCTGTATACATTGGCGATTATTTGATTGCCCCAAAATCCATGTGATATCCATAATTTAAAATACCAATATAATGTAGTATGTATATAAGTACGTACTAAAAACACACATAATAATAGGAAATAAAAAACGTTTATTTAGTAAACATTTTATTTATACACACACACACAGTATAAAGAAATTGTGAAGCAAAACGAAAAAAAAAACGAAACGAGAACAAAATAATTGTAGGAAAAATTTATGTTAAAAGTAATAAATAAACGAAATCAACGACCACAAAAAAAAAATAGTAGTAGACCACTGAAATTTTAAAGCGTAGTAGATATTGTTTTTATTCTGAACAAGACCTTAATATAGCCTCCGTGTTCCCTTATCAGAATTTGTTTTTTATTACGCGTTTATTTTATTCTATAGATAAATACATTTACGACTAAAACTTAATATAGTATTTACTATGTAAGAAGAAAAATGAATATTGTTGGAATGGCGTATAGTTTAATTAAAATTGTGTTAATTTACTTTTAAAATGATTGTACTACATACCTATTGAAATAATAATTATTTAATGGAATTGGAAATATTTGGTTTTATTAAAATGTTGCTAACAGTTTTGCTCAGTTAATAGCAAAATTTAAATAAAATCCATCGGGTTTTTGAAAATGAAATAAAATGGTACTCAGGCAGTAACGGGTTAAATTTCGAAACATTTATTTAAAAAAAAATTTCAATGGTGTTTAACATTCCCATTAACAAGAATATGATCACACCATATTATTTTGATTTTATGTTGCATTATTCTAAATTATTTATACTTGAATGATTATTATTAACCCTAACTATACCTAGAACCTAAAATGGGTATCTGTGTTTTTTTTATTATACTGCAAACCTTTTCCGAAATATACACACGTGTACATATATTTGAAATTTTCGAAATATAGAAGTTAGTTTATATCTAGTTCATTAGTTTTTATGTATATTTCCTTAAAAACAATACCCATTTGATTAACATGGAATTTAGTACAATGATTCCAGCTGCATTATGTTGTAACGAATTTTAAATAATATGCGGCCATTGTATATTAATTTTGCTGCTTTAGTTGGAACACCACATGCTCTTTTAATTGTCATAGTAATTGGAATAATACGATTTTTAAATTGCTTCACATGTTTCACTCATATTTTAAATGTTCATCTATACAGATGCCAAGATATTTAATATATTTCATTATTTGTATTCTATCATTTCCGACTTTTATTGTAATTTCATGAAATTTTTTTTGATTTTACCAAAATAATGCGTTTTTTAAGGATTCATGCAAGGGCCATTGGGATTTTTTTCTAATTCACTCAGATGTTGTGCTTTTGCAGGTTCATGTCCTTAACATATATTGTGTACTTTGATTCTATGATACAATGTGAAATATTCATAACAAATAATAAAAATAAAAGATCGTTGTGGTACACCCATGCTTATAAGCAATTCAGATACACTATGTGTTTTCTACTTTAAAGTAACTTCTGAATAAATTGTTAGCTGTTCATCTAACTCCCGATTCTTCAAGAAAGTCTAGAAGGCGGCTATGATTGACACATCAAATGCTTTACTTAAATCAATAAAAATATCCGCAATATAATAACGTTCATATAAAAGCATCATAAACATCATCTAGTGTTACCAAAACTGCGGAATTCGTACCACTACCATGTAATCCATATTGATTTTCGTCAAAGCCGGTTGTTTATTCGGCAAAGCTGCAAATTAATTTATTAATAGCTTTCTCATATATTTTACTTATTGAATTTAGTATTAGAATCTCCACATTTTATAAATTATATACAAACATTTAAATAATTTAAAACCTAAATGGCATTTAAATAGATCTAGTTAAAATAAAATATTACATAGACTCACAATTGAATAATTTGATAAATTTTGAATAAAACTTGAAACGTATTATTTTTATTTGTTATTTCAATTCTAGAATATTTTAAAAATTGATCTAATCATTCAAATCACATATTCCAAGTAAACACAATAATTAAATTTTGTTTCAAATCAAAAAAAAACAATAAAAGGAAAATAATTTTATCGATTTAAAATCCTATTATAAAATTGTACAATATTAATTTTTCATGTAAATAGGAAATGCGACAACAAAAATATTGAAAACTTTTTACATTTTAATAAATAATATAAAGAATATGGAGTACGCATTGAAAATTTAAGGTAAACACGCTACTTATAGGCAATTCTTTTCAATCTTTATGAATTAGTTCAACTTAGAAATCCATGAGTGTTTTCAAAAATCAAATTGCTATAAAATTCGACAGCTCTGCCAGCTTTCTTTCTCTACTCTTGTCTAGCTTCTGTTAGCGTTTTTCATCTCTTACATGAAAATGTCGGGCGTCTCCGCATCTGACCTCACTTATTCTACCCCCATTGCTGTTCTTTTTATTTTTGTAAATTTTTCTCTGCTCTATACGCATAAATAAGGCGAAAAAGAATTATCAACTGTGACAGAGCTGTGCATACTGTAATTAAAATGGAAGGACACCTTGTATTCTGAGTTCGCAAACAAAACCACTAAGCTCTCCTTTTACCACGTAGCTCTTATCATATGTTGTTCTAGCTTGACTTAGGACGTCGTTTACTAATAACTAAAATAAAAACGTATAATTTTGAGAATTCTTAGAAAATAATTATATAAACATTAAGTGAAAACTAAAACAATCCTACTAATATACATAATATGTATTTTTGTGTTTATGTAATTTGAAATGACATAATGTCATAAATGTCAATGAAACCCTGATGTTTACATAAAATTGTGAAATTAAATAAAATTGTCAATTAGACATATGTATATCTATATTAATATTGGACATTTCAATGGCATAAATTTTAAATTGTATACAATTTGTAAACATCGTATTTTTAACTGTAAACACACATTTACATACTATAGTGTTACCACCTATTTAATAATAAAATTTCAAAATAAAAGATAACCATAAATTATTTTCCGTTTAAACCTTATAAAAAATTCTATATGCGCTTATATTTTCTAAGTGTGAATTTTTTTTTAGAAAACAACAAAAATAAATGAAAATTACATTTAATGAATATTTTATAATTTTTCTATATGGACATTTATCAGTTTACCATAATCTTTGTATTTTCAATATAGCCTAGCATGTTAGCTAATCTTATGAAGCAGAAAAAGAAAATTTTAAAAAAAATTTTGCACAACAATAATAAAATATTTACCAAAGTACATAATGAGGAGTACATGATATTTGCACATTCGAAAAAATAAGCAAAGAGAAAAGGTCAAAGGTCTTGAACAGGAAATAGTTTACTATATATCCTTTTTCTTCTTCTTTTTTCATATATGTATAATGTTATACAAATTATTATATAAGTTAGTCTATATAAATACTGTTATACTTTGACTAATTTATTAAATTCCATAATAAAAAGAAAATGAAACTTTTACAATAAAGACTTGGTTATTTGCATAAAAAATTTATTGATATTGAAGAAGAACGGCGCGTCGAAAACTAAGAAGGCGACAACGATGAAAATAACACTTAAAAATAATTTTTCTAAATGGGAATTGCAACATGGAAATTCTATTTTACGGGATATACAGTGTATCACAATGATGAATCAGACAATTTACGGTCTTATATTGGTTATGTTCCTTGCGTATTCACGTTTCTTAGTCACTCTTTAATCACAATTCTCGAAATTTTTTTATTACTTTTATTTTCTTTTATTATTAAAAGTGAGCATTTTGTATTACCGTAACCTAACGAAATTTTTACCACATTTCGTGACGGTAAATTTTCTATAGGAATGATTTCCAAATTTAAAAGAACTAACAAAGAAATTAAATCTGCCGCATTTTAAACACTAAAATTGATATTTTAAAATCTTGTATCTTCACTTAATTTTTTTTCTTTACAAAATTTCCGTATTTATAAACGGGAATTTTAAGGACATTACGATAGGTCAATAAAATCATTAAAATAATCTCTCTATATAATACCACCCTATATGTACTATTTATTTTCATAGTTTCATCTAGATATAATGTGCAAGAGCTTTTGTTATTTTTATATACAAAGAAAATTCGTGAGCCGGAAAATACTTAAAATGCAAAAATTTTTAACTTTTAAAAATATTTAAGAATTTGCCAACGTGATTTTTTTTTAGGAGAGGAAAATAAATGAATTTTTATTTTAATTTTTTCTACAGAATTCTATACCCCTATAAGAATTAGCAAATAAAAATATTTTTAAAATAATTTCGTCAATTATCAATTTTTTTAAATAATAAAATAGGGAAATGTAATTTAAGACTTTGTTTTATCGTAATTTTTTATTTAATTATAAATTCGTATATAAACTTTTTGTATAGCAAAGAATATTTAAGCGAAAAGGTAATTTTGGAAATGAAATGAAGAAACTGCCTCAACTTTTTTTTTTTAATTCAAGTTCAATTAAATTTATTATTAGAATTTGATTTTCGAAATAAAATTTTAAAAACTTAATTTTCCTATTATTAATATTTGTGATCGTAATTGAATTTATCAAATTTTAAATATTTTTAGGGAACCAGCACCACCGCAACCATTCAAAAATATTATGCATGATAAAAGGGTTATTAGAGGTAGCAATTTTAGTCAATTACAATCAAATGTAAGTTGAAAATATTATTTTAAAATAAATTTAAATTTTAATGGGTTTATATAAAAGCTTGTACGTTAGGGCACACACAAACAAAATGTGCGCACTCAATTTTAACAATTAATTTTTTTTTTTCATAACACAAAAAATTTTGATTTATTTTACACAATAACACTTTCACTATATTCCGATTTAACATTCAATAATGAATACTTTCCAGCCTTGGAATCCGTATTTTACACATGCGGGCCTCCTTTCTGGAAAGGTGAGTTTAAATTTTGAAAAACACTATTTGATTTCATTGTTATTTATTCTGAGAAGCAAACCACTGCGATTTAATGGTATATCGTAAAAAATTGATTTATATCGTAAATTTTTTTTTTTAATTTATTACTGATGCAAATAAATATTACGAAATAGTGTTAAATTTTTACGATATAAATTAAATATAATAAATTATTGAAATATTTTTCAGAAAAAAGACTCGCTATATTATTAAAACACAAGTTTTAATTGAAAAATACGTTATTATTAATAAAATTTAATTATTTTATTAAATAAGATAACAAGTTTTCCATGTTTTTCAAAATTTAACTAGGTTCATGGTATTCATACATTATTCTGAACATTAAATTTTTCAATAATTAATTTTTTTTTAGGATCAACAACTAATTTATACAAAAGAACAAGACGCTAAACGACGTCTTCTGCTTCGAAAACGATGTTTAGCACGTAATCAAAGAAATGTAATTGGATCACCACCACCAATTCAGGGTCGTGTTCATATACCAATCCAAACAGAAAAATATTTAGAAGAATTATTTGATCGTCCACCAGAATATGATGCTAATACACAAACAGATTTATTTTTACAACGACCACCATCACCGCCATATGTACCAGCAAAAGTTGGTATTGATCGTGCTACTCAAATTGAAGAAGGTGATCTATTTGATTTTGATGCAGAAGCTCAACCAATATTGGATACATTAATTGGACATTCTGTACAACAAAGTTTAATTGAAACATTACATGAACAAGAAATGGCTGAATTGAAAGCTAAACAAGAAGAGTAAATTTATTTTTTTTTAATTTTGTAATTTCATTTAAAAAAATTAAAATAATTCATTTTCGTTTTTTTTTTTTTTGTTTATGAAAAATAGACTTCTTGCACGACGTGAAGTTGAATTAGCTGAATTAAGGCGGTTGGAAGAAGAAGATCGTCGTTTACAAGAAGAAAAAGAACGTCGTCTTAAACAAGATGAAATGAGTAAGGATATCGATGTTAAATTACAAGAGGAAGTTACTGCTGCCAAATTACTTCAAGGACATATTGCTACAATTCTGCCGGATGTTTTACAAAAACTTGAACCACAAACTGATTCCGCACATAAAGATGAATTACAAAGAAAAATATGCCCATGGTTGAGTAAAGAAGTTGCTGAAGAAGTTGGAAAAATTATCGATTCAAGAGAAATTTTAACAGAAATTATTAAGGAAATCATTATACAAAGAGCATCAGTATATGCTGGTTATTCTGAAAGTGGCGATGATGATAACATTATATGTGAGGAAGGTGAAGAAGAAGCAGAAACAGAAAATGATTATGAAGATTATGAATTTATTCGTAATGAATTAAATTCTTTAATAAGGAATGTTGAAGATATAGAATTAATTGGAAATGATTCAAATAAATTAGAAACAATAGAAGAAGAAGTTATAATTAAAGATGAAAATGTGCCATTAGAAAAAGAAATTGATGATTTAAAAGAATTAATCGAAAATAATGAAATTGAAAATGTAAATAAAGATGAACCGATATTAGATGACAGTAAAATTGAACAAATTGTTGAAGATGAAGTTATGAAAATAATTTTAGAAACTGATTTAGCTCAAACCACAGTCGATCATCAAGAAACCGATGAAATTGTAAAAGGTGATAATAACAGTAATAATGCCACAAATGATTTAAATGATAATGATGATGATGATAATTCAAACACTGAAGGTATTATACGTAATGAAATTGATCGAATTATATCATTAGCAAATAGTATTGATGAAACAGTTGAATTGCCAACACAAATTGAAAATGTTAATTATACAACAGAAATTACAAGACAACAAGATATAGATGATGACAATACTGAAAATGATATTGATGTTGACGATATTAATACAACTGATAACGATGACAACGATGACGGTAATATCCTCGACGATAATAATGATGGTGATGATGATGGCAAATCTGATGAAATCTTTTTACGTAATCAAATTGAACAAATCATTTCAGTGGCAGAAGAAATCTCATTAGCTCAAAATGAATCTAATAACAATGATGGTATATCGTATATATCGTAAATATAATTTTTGAAAAATAAATACAAAAATTTATTTTCTATAAATTATAAAAAAAAAAAAATTGTTAATAAAATTGTGATAGAATTAAATATGGGAAAAAACACGAAAAAAAAAAATTATATGTATGTAATAAATTATAATTTTATTTTTTATTTATGTTAAAAATAAATAAATGTTATCATAAAATAACCTAGTAACAAAGAAAAAAAAAAGAATTAAATAATTACCTTTTTGCTCAAAATTTAAAGTATAATAAAAATTTAAATTATGTGTAAAAACTAAAACTTTTCAACTTTTTTTAATGGCCTTATGTGTTCCGTCACAATTAGATTATTTCGATTTTTCTTATTTAGAAGAAGCCGCTCGAGCTGCTTGACGACACTCAAAAGTATGATGATTATCAGCACATACACAACATTTGTTTAATAGGGAACATTTATGTATGTATTTGCCCATGGCCATAAGATTTGCAATTGTAGCACATAACCCGTACCTCTCTTTGCTTATGTTTTAGTAATCCTATCTTAAAATAGCTTTCAATTTATTATTCAGATCACTAAGAGCAATAGTATTTTTTTTTTTTTTTTTGAAGTACATAATAAATTTTTTCTGATTGTAATATTTCATATTCTTACTTGGTGTTTTTTTTTTTCACATCAGCACATATTAGATTATGTACCTCCAAGAAGTTTACGTTTGATCAAATTGATGTTAGCTTTGGAATTCAATCAATATAACAAATTTTTCGTGATAATTCAAGTGCCTTTGACTGAAAAACTTTTATTTTTTATTCTCGTCTACGATACTTTTATTAACATACTAACAAAGGACTTAAATATTTTGGTACAAATGATGTTATTTATCAGATGATATTTATCTATCTTTTAATAATTTTAGATATCGTCACTAGATTTGTGAAAGAAACAAATTAATGATAACTTAAGTTTCCTTGCAATTCTGTAAATGTCTTCAATGTAGATGCAGCTGGATATTATTCTAAATTGCTTACACTTAAACTATTATCAGATTCTGCTTCAATTTAATTGATTTAGTGGAGAAAATCTGTTAAAACATCTTGCGTCGTCATATTACTTTTGAAATGAAAATTCCCATTGTTCAAAAACGTACTCAATCTAATGAGTTAATTATTAAGAAATTTAACACAATCCAAATTTAAATTTTAATAATAATTTCTTTATTTTTATTTTCTTTCTTTTTCAAATTTTTATTTATTTTTTTTTTTATTTTTTGAATAATAGTTTTTCTTTTTAAATTGTTAAGTTATAATAATAGTAATAATAATAATAGTATATGTAATGATAAAGAGGCGTAATTGTTTTTGTTTTATTTTTCATATTAAATATAATGCTTTTATTTATAAAAAAAAAAAAAAATTCACATTTATTTTCGATTTCAATTATTATTTTCTATTTTTTTCTTAATTTTATTAATTTCATATTTTTTTTTTGTAATTTTTTTCGGAGTTTTTTTTTTATTTTTTATAAAAAACAAAAAGTTTGTGTTCTTTCTTTTCAGTAAATACAAGCATAAATTTCAAATTGTATTTTTTTTTTAATAATTTTTGTTTTTTTTTTTATTTTCAAAATAAATTATTATATAAACCAACCTTTTCCCTTAAATTTAACATTTTAAACTCTTTAAATTCATTACATTCATTTACACTTTATTAGTATCATGCTTAGTTTTTTTTTTTTAAAATAATTATGTAAAAAATAATAATAAAATCAAACCAATAATTTTATATTTCTAAATATTCAAAAGAAAATTTTAATAGAAATATTTAGATAAAGAGTAAAAATAGTAACATTTCAATATTAAACACCCGTATTCTCTTTAAGGCATTATTCAAAAAATTTTAGTAATTTTTACAACAAAATCCGAAATTCGAAATTCTGTAATGAAAATATCAATAATTATGAACAATATCTCATCACATTAAATGATGACTCTAATAGAATATGGGTGATATATTTATATAAGTCTTATACTCACTTCGAATATGACATTCTAACATATTAGATAAATTAATTTGTAATTGTATTTTCTATGAATTTTAACAAATAGTAATTTATTTTATATGAAGATAGTGAGACCTTTAATAATTCAGACATGCCAATTCTTTCTTTCAAACTTTAAAATCTTAAAAAATTTATTTTGCATAATTACAAGTCTGCAATATCAAAACAAGTTTACTTTTACAGATTTGTAATGTCCTCACTATCCGATATTTTTTGATATACATATTATTTTTTTGTAATTCAAAATATTTTTACAGAATTTTTTATATGAATTATAGAAAGCCCTCAATTTTCCGTTTACAATTTCTGTTAATTGATCTAGAAATTCTAGAAAACAATAATAATTACCATGATCGTCAAATAATAATTGAAATAAATTTTTATTAAATGACTCCAATTAATAATATTATGCACGAGTAATATTCATGAGCATTCATTCATCTTGCATATGAAAATTACTAGTCAGTTTAAGTCTAAGTAAATTGAAATAAAAAAAATATTAGAAAAATAATTACAATATTAAAAATCATATGTTATAATAATTAACATTCGAATAAAGTATCTGTTGTTTAGCAATTATTTCTATATATTTTATATTTCGAAGCTTAACTACTAAAGTGTCATTATTATCAAAAAATTTATTTTTTTTTTTAAATCGAAATACATATTATATATATATATATAATTATACTAAAAATTTATTTTATATAATATTAAATTTAATTAGATTTGAAAAGTATAAGCAAAATTTTGCATTATAAAATCAACACTGGTTTCATTTTATTTAATTTTACAATCCATAAAATAAATTTCCTCAAAAATATTTTTACTCTTAATCGTATCTTCTTCAGTCATACGCTCTTTTAGAAACTCTATTATATTTATAACCAAAATAAAAAAAAAAAACAGGACTTTAATTACGTTTTTTATTTCATATTTTACCATAAAATTATCATTTAATTTTTTTTGTAATTTTTTTTTTTTGAATTTAAAAAAAAATTCAATATTCACATTTATTATTTCTAAAATATAATGGTCTTTGTCCTCAAACTACTATTGCGAGGTTAAGATCAAAGATTATATTTGATTTGTGTTACAATATTATTATTTAAGAGATCTATTGTTGAGGTAAGTACTATGTAACTTCTGTGTTTGTTAAAATTGAAACTGTCACCGCGCGGGTACCAGGAACGAGAAAACTAGAAAATCAAGTTACGATTTTCTGATTTGCATACATTTACGTTTTTTAAATTTGTATTATATAAACTAAAATCTCTGCTCAAAATAATTAATTAATTTTAATTTTTAAAATTTGAATTTTTTTTTGTTTAATAAATGTAGCTGCAATGGAATTTATCTCGGAATGTACTTTAATAATTTGGGTTATAGAAAAAAAAAAAAAATTCAAATAATAGTTTTTTTTTTTTTTACAAATTAATTTAGTTTAAATGGATTGTAAAATAAATGCGTATATAAAAAATAAAAAACATAAAAATCTTATAAATTATTTTAATCCTGATTAAATAAATTTATAATTGCATATATATAAAAAAAAATGTAATAATTAGTTTTTAAAGCTTAATTATGAAAGCTTTCTTCATTTTATATTTATGTGAAATCTAATTAAATCATTATTTTTATTAATATTCGAATTAGTTTTAAATTAAAAATCAATATAACATAATAGGGTCGAAATTATGAATTTCTATTTGTACTAAATAAAAAAAATTTCAATTGAAAATTACGAGTAGAATTTTTACATGATTTTCAAAATATATTTTGTTTAGTCGTAATTTACATATGAAATTTTTCTACTTAGTAGTTAGAATATGTAATAGAAATTCTATGTATGTATCTATAATATGTAATAGAATAATAATTTAAAATAATTTAAAATATAAATTCTCTAAATTGAGATAAAATTTTTCTTCAATTTCAAATTAAAAATCTGCTATAAGAATAAAATCTTATTAAATCTAATAAGATTTAATTTCTAACTAAAGTTAACTTTCATAATAATTAGACTTTATTTTGCTTATTTGTTTTTTCTTTTTTTTTTTTTGTATACAATTTGAAATTTATACTGAATTTTTAAATATTTTTTAAAGAACTATTTTTGATCAAAATATATTTATGTATATTTATACATGTACATACATTTTCATGCAATTTATGTGCATACTTTAATATACACAACCTAAAATAGTATAGTCTGCGTTTCATTTTTAATAATTATTGAAAGTTTTCATTTTATTTTTTATATGATCAAATCATAAATTCAATTTTTTAAATATTACTAATATTTATTATATAATTATGGGTATTTTCCAGTTTTAAATTCTTTAGTATTTATTAATTTTTGTTAATAATTTTTATTATAGATTTTGAGTTTTAAATTTTTTTTTCTTTTTGTTTTATTTTTATTTTCTTTCATTTATATTTTATATTTCTTTTTTTTTATATAGCTATACCTTTATTATTTCAGTTTAATAACACAAAAATTTCATTTAATTTTCTTTTACATTTTAAACGTTTAAACGTTGATTTTCTTTTTTGAAAAGGGATCATTAGCATTTTAAAAGTAATTTTGGTTACTCTTATAAGAGAGTTAGAACAATCATATTATTGATAATTTACAGGGAATTATAAACAATATTTAATTTTAACTCCTTTTCTTTTTCTTTACTTTTCGTAAATTTAACACATTTTTGAGGATTATTTGTTTTTTTTTTGTTTTTTTTTTTATCTTTTTAAATTTTTTACGTAGATTATTGACACAGAAAATTTTCATTTCAAATTTTTTTTGAATATTATTAAATTTTAATGTTAAATTTTTAGTTATATAGATAAAGATGTTTAGATAAATATAGTTGAAGAAGAGACAAAAAAAATATAATATAAGTATGCAATAATTTCAATTATCATATTGAACAAAGATCATGTGTTTTTTTTTTTTTAAATTCTACAGTATTTTTCTTAATTTTTTGTAAAATTTAATTTTTTTTTTTACTTATAACATTATAATAACTTTAGTATCACACAAAACATAAGGTGAAATTTTTGATAAAAAAAATTCTTTTGATTTTTTAAATCATTTTTTCTCCCTTATTTTACAAACGCTCATTTGCTTTCAAAAATTCATAAACAAAATAAAAAATTTAATACCAAAATGAAATTATAATTTTTTTTCGGAAAAAAAAACTGCCATTACTTAATTATTAATAAAATATAATTAAATGAAAATCAAAAATAAACAAAATTTAAGAAATTGTTAATACTTCGGTACTTTTTCGAATAATTTTGATAATTTATATAGAATATACTCGTAAGTATATCTACATGAACATATTTGCATCATTTAAAAAAAATTTTTTTGTTTAAAATTGTAATTATAATTTTGTAAAATAAAATTTAATTTAAATTAAATTTCTGTGTGCAAATAATGATTTTAAAATTTTTGTTACCTTATTAAAATTTATTTCTATTTTTTTTTTCCAATAAATTCTTTACACTTAAAAAAGCAATTATTTTTGTTACCATACATAATTTTTATATTATTAACTTTATAATGAAATTTAATATTAATAAGTAAACAAATATTTTATTTGATTAAAAAAAATAAAAACAATATATCTATTATGTAATATTGTAAAATAAAATTTAATACATTTATAATGATAGATTTAAAATTTTCAAAAAAGAAAAAAATTATGTATAAGTTTATTATATTTAATATTTAGAAAAATTAGAAAAAAAAACTTGAACTTAAAAAAGAATTTGACATTTTGTAATTAAAATAAAAAACATGGAGGAAAAACAAAGAATTTGTAATTCTCAAAATATCTTATCAGAATAAAAAACTTTCAATGACAACTGAATATAATCATAAAAATAAAATCGAATTTGAAAAATAGTCTTTTAAAAAAAATTCTTAATAATAGTGTATGTGCATAATATAAAAACAAAAATCAATTTTAAATTTTTTAAATTTTACTAATCGCTTGAATTTAATTAGGATTAAATTGACTTGAAACTTTATTCTTTCCTTTTATTTTTTTAATGTTTTCCAATAATATTATTATTAATGAATTGCCATTGAATTTTATTTTATTTTTCGATATAATCATAATTTTCTTCCGTTTGTTTGCTTTTTTGTTTAATTAAAAAAAAAAAAAAAATTGAAAATAATTATTCCTTGTATGTGGAAGTGTCCATTGGACTAGCTGGTTGTTGTGCATTAAACAATTGCTGTTGATGCTGTTGATGTTGCTGATGGTGTTGATGTTGATTGGTAGGAGTAAAAGCAATAGATGATGACGAATTACTTGAACTCATCATTAAGCTACTGGAACTACTTAATGTGGACGATGAATTATTCAAACTTGAATTCATAATTGTTGCATTATTACCACCAACTAAACGTTCACCACTTAAATTACTTCCTAAATTAATGGATGATAAGCTATGTTGAGAGCTATGTTGTGGTGGCAATGTTACTCCAGAGGAACTTAATAACTGATTTGATGTTAAAACATTTGGTGCTGAGGTATTTAGACCTAATGCAGATGATGGTATGGCCGGTTTAATAAATCTTTCACTTGTACGGCGTCCCTTTATATTTCATAAAAAAAAAAAAATTATTCATAAATAAAAACATATATATATAATTGCAATTATATTTACAACTAATTGACCACAGTGGTGACAGCGATTCTGCTGGCCAACAAGTACACTAGCATTTCCAGGACTCAATGGACGACTACTAGATGGACTATGTGGTACAGGACTGCTTATAGTACGTTGCCGATGTGTACCTAAAGCACCAGCAGTTGCTCCAGTTCCACCAGCACCTCCGCCTAATAAATTTTCATTATAAAAACGTTCTTCTTCCATTTCTAATGACGACTCTGACTCCGATAAGTGACGACATAAAGCTTCACGACGTTCAACTTCTAGAGCTAATTTTCGTTGAAGACGTAAATTTTCTTCTCGAATGCATTTTTCTTCTTCGGCGAATTTTTGCATTTTTTCATTTGTCTCTTTTTGGGCAGCTGCCAAATTGGCACGTAAACGTATTACTTCACTGCGTAATGTTTGAATGTGAGCGCTTAAATTACTGGCAGTATCACCGTTAGCATTATTAATATCTTTTGGAGTTGTGGGATCTGAAACTGGTTGATCTAATTTTATTTGTAATGAACGTTTTTCGGTTTCTAATTTGTCCATTCGCTTCCATAGTTTATTAACTAAAGCTTCTTGTTCTTGTTCTAGTGTGTTCTCTAATTCGACCATTTCACGACGTAATTGTTCCAAATTTGTTTGTTTAGCTAAGGTTTCAGCTTCGAGTTTTTCGATTTTACGCATAAGTTTGTTAACTAAACATTCTTGTTCCTGTTCAAGTGTTTGTTCAAGTTTACATTTTTCTTGACGCAACTAAAATTAATCAAATTGGTCAATGTTAAGAAAAAAAAACATATACTAAGGAAAAACTTGTTTTACCTGATCTAATTTACGCGATAAATCATTTGTCAAACATTCTTCTTCTCGTTCATAATGATGAGCTAGAGTTTCTTTTTCTTTTTTTAAAGCCTGTATTTTTTTTAATAGGGTGTTGGAAATGTATTCTTCTTCTTGTTCAGCTTTTGCTTGCTAATAAATAGAAAAGTTAATCATATATTTAAAATAATTTTCTTAATATTTACAATAAAAACGGAAGCTTGTTTTAGTGACTTATTTTCTTCCTGTAGAACTTTAACTCTAATTTTATACGTTTCCAATTCGACTTTCAGAACCCTATTGGATTTCAAAAATGTTAAATATTCATAAATTATATTTGTAATACAGTGAAACTTTTCCAAACCTATTTTGCTGCGTTAAACTTTCTATCCGTTTTTGCAACTGCTCTCTTGAAACTGGACTTGGAGGTAACATTGAACTTGACCCCCCTCCGTCTAATGAACTTTCTGATTCGCATGGACTCTCCATATTGATTCCTAAGCAAATTTAACTTATCAGCTAAATATATCAATTTTTAAAAACTGTTGCTTTTCAATTTTTCCGAAAAACCTAAATGTAAAATAAATGTACATATTTTTTTTAATTCGTTTGACATTTTCAAAAAAAGTCAGAAATTAAAATTCAAAAAAATTTATACAAAATTTAAATTTCACTGCAAAAATGAAGTGAAAATTGTCAAAAATGGTGCTGCAGAAGGTGGTCAACTTCGCATTAGTTTTATCGAAATTCGTACCAAATAATTACACTTTTAGAATTCAAATAATTTTAATTAGATTTATATAACTAAAAATTTTCATTGTTTTACCTTTATTTTCGAATGCTTGATGTAATTTCGTTGAAATTTTTATTAAAAAAGACTTTCACAAAATCTTTCCGAACCGCGATGACACTGACATTTTTGGAAGGGTTGAATAATGAGTTGCCATTGTATCAAAAAATGTTGACATTTCGTTAAAATAACGCATTTTAACAAAATATAATAAATGATACCGGTTAACCGATTTTTACTTAGGTTTACACTTGATAGTCTCTTCTCATAGAATTGCAATTTGATTCGATTGGTCCAATGAAATTTTTGTGTAAAGTGAGCGTTTTTGTGATCAACATAAATGAAACATGACAAAACCGAAGGCTGCGGCTGTGAACCCACCTTAAAGTTTAAAAATAAAACACATAATTTTTTTGCATGTCTTACATATCTTCCCATAAATTTTAGTAAATTCGTCGAAAAAAAAAATTTCAAATGTATATTATATTATAGTTGTAAGGTGAAAACCGATCACTACATAAAGCATAAATGTAAAAATATTGTAAATTGCTAGATGGAACAATAAATGTTAAAATGTTAAAAAAAAAAATTTTTTTTTGCATCGTTTACACATCAAACATTGTTTACCGGTTTTCTCTTGTTCTGAATTAAAAGAAGGCTTTTGGAATATTCCAATACGAGTATAAAAAAAAAACAGAACATAATGTTTGGAATATTATTAATCAATATGAAAAAATATTTTGACTTTCTAGAATATTTTATATTTTTTATTAAACCGAGCAAGAACAAATGAAAGATAAATATTGAGTTTTTGTATATAAAAACTCTATTTACACGACGCCTTTCGCATTAATGGTTGCTAAAAGTGTGGAAAATTTCTGACAATGAAGAATTATGACACGGATTTTTATTACACATTATTTGGGAAGAATAGTATATTATTGTAGTTATGGTATATAAAATAATAATAAAACTGACATTTCAGAAAAACTTTCACGCTAACATTAAATTTGCTCCAACTTTAATTTTTTCTTTGGTTTGAATAACTTTCACACGACAAAATAAAGTTATAAAATTTACGAAGAGTTTAAAGGTAATAAATTTTAGATTGAAATTTTTTTCTTCGACCTCAAAAATGGTTGGTCAGCTAATCTAACAAAATACTAATATTTATTTAAACCAGCCAAAATTGTAGTTATCTGAAATTTTTTACTTTGCTGTTTACATTTTGTACTAAGTCGTCTAAGTAAGATTGCATTTGTTTTAATTTTTGACAAATTCTGTTACAATAATTGATGTGTAAACATTTGGATATTTTTGCAAATCTCAAGTTTTTGTAATAAGTTTTGCAAAAAATATTTTTTAAGTGCTTACAGACCATAGGTATTTTCCCCTTACGGTCAACTAATTATTTACAAAAACAGAAAACCATAATGCGACTCTCAAATATGTCATTAAACATTTTTTATTTATTTGTAATTACATTTTAGTATTATTTTTCATCGTAAAATTTTTAAAAAGCCTTCCATTCGTTCGAAATTCCTTATTTTATTATTTTATTTAAATTAGAATTAAAATTTTAACTTTAAATACTTTTGTTTCAAATTTTTAAAAAACATCAACGCCTTCTTCGTCAATTAGAGTAAGTATTTCAAATATAAATTTAATTTGCACATATGTCAGTGACAAAAGTCAGCCGCTCAAATTTTTCAAAACTGGCAGCACTCGCTTAAAATGGAGTAAAATTAATAATGGCGACTGCACTGTCTATTTTCTTGTAAATATTAAAAGATTAAACTTTTTTTTAAAAAAAAAAGTAGTGAGAAAAACTTATCAAATACAAAAAGTGCATTAAAGATATATCTAAAAATATTGTATAATATCAATTAAAAATTAAAAGAATATATAAAAAGTTAAGAATCGCCAAATAAAAAATAAAAATGCTTAAATATAATGAAAACGAAAAGTGAAGAAACTATGGCGGGGATGGCTAGTGTGTGTTGTTTACTTGAAAATCGAAATTTTTTATTTTATGTACTGAAATATCAAAACATTTTAGCAACTTAATGTTATATTTAGATCGTATTTATCTGTAATTGTAATGTAATAATGTAAAAATAATTGAAATTGATTTATTTAATTTGTTTTATAGAAAAAAGTTTGATTCGAAAATTTGCGGATCCAAGGAATTTATTGACAAAAAATTTCGTATCACAATTCTTTCACCATACATACAATTCTTTCTGGTGTGCACTTCTGCTGCGTGCAGAAGGCAGGAGTGTGTTATTTTTTTTTTTTTTGCAAGTATACAAAAGTGGGCAGGACATTTTAAAAGTAAATTACTTTAAAAAATTAATGTAATATTTAAATTTTGAAACGGAAAGAGTTAATTTCGTTTAGTGATTATTTGAGCAAAGCATTTTTCACATCGAGGATATATACCCGATGTCAAGAAGAAGTATAAGCGAAAACATTCATTGTTTGAGAATGTAGTAGAAAATATATTGTACGAAATATCCACAAATGAATAATTAAAGCTCACACAGCTATACTAGGTACATAACAGGTATAAAATTAAAGTGCGAAAAAAAAGAAAATTAGAAAATTCGTAATATTCAATTATTAAGGAATCCTTTTGCAGATATTCCATTAAGAATTTTAATTAGTTCCCCATTTAATAAAAGGTTTTGACAGGAAAACTGAAGATAAAAAAACATCAAAATAGAAAATAAAAACAATTTTTGTGTCAAAATTTTTGCCAAAGTTTCTTTTTGGTGTCGCACATAATAACTAAATTTGATGTTATTGATTATAAAACAGAAATAAAAAAAACTAACGAAAAAACAATCAAAAAATATAAACATGAGAAAACCGCATATACTAAATTTTTATAATTATATACGCTAAATGAAAATTAAATGCCTTTAATAAACATCAAACTTAAATAGATAGCAAATAATTTCAAAAATAATTATTGAAGTAGTTTTTGACCAAGATTTGTCGAAGACTCCTTTCTACATGAATTTAATAGCAATTTTCAAAACTACAAATAAAAATAAAAACCATAACTTATGTTTTATAAATAAGAAATGTCACAAAGAGGTAAGAGAGGAAATCGTTTGGAGAGCGATTCATCAATAATACAACAACCACCAGTTAAGCGTCGCAAAGGACGACCTACTAACAGCAATAGCTATAATAATGGCAGTGGTGGTAGTAACGGTAATGGTAGCAGCAACAATGGTGGTAGTACCGTGTCAAATGCCATTCAAAATACATTTTATGATGGTGCAAATGTTGATACTTACAATTTTGATAAAGTTTCATCACATATCGGTGCTACAAACGTTTCTGGACCAACAGGTGCATGCCCTGTTGTGTCGGCATCTAATTTTGTTGTACCATCAACATCTAAAGCGCAAGGATCTGGCGGTGGCACTGGTGGTGGATCATCATCTTCCACACAATGGCATGCACGTGCAATTGGTGATTTAAAGTCATCAAGTATATATAATCGAAGCAGTTCAGAAGCGCCAGCTGAATTGTTTAGGTAAGTAAAGGAATACTTTTGTTGTAGAAATAATATAGTATGATACTATTTTGTTAATTAGTAATTGGATAAACATTTTACTCATACATAAATTAAATAACTTTACAGGAAAGATCTCATTAGTGCAATGAAACTACCAGATTCAGAGCCACTGTCACACGATGAATACTGGTTAATTACCGACCAATGGAAACAAGAATGGGAAAAGGGAGTTCAAGTTCCAGTGAATCCAGATTCATTGCCAGAACCAAGTGTAAAGTACATACCAGATTATTCACTGATTGTACCACAGAACCATGATTTTAGACCGTAAGTTTTGTAAAAATTTATTTGTTAGTATTTCATTTTATTTAGTTGATTATCAATCAAATATTTCGTAATAATAATACAAAACTTTAATTTCTGTATAGACCAAAAAATAAATATGTTCGCATCACAAAAGATGACAGTTTCTCACCGGAATTACACTATTTATCAAATGTTCCAGCAAGAGCTGAGTCAGTATGTTCTTATGATCTTGATCAAACTGATGAATGTTGGTTACAAATAGTTAATAAAGAACGAATTCTTTCCGGGGCTGAGCCAATATTAGACAGTCAGTTTGAAAGGGTTGTGGAAGAGTTAGAGGTAAATAAAAATAAAAATTTAGCTTTGATTAGATATGTTATAATAGACAAATAACAATTACTTAATAACTTAAAAAAAATAAAGATGCGTTGCTGGGATAAAATCCATGCGATAATGAAAACTGAAGAGGGTCTTGGAATCGAATATGATGAAAATGTTATATGTGATGTTTGTCGATCTCCCGATTCTGAGGAGGCGAATGAAATGGTTTTCTGTGATAATTGCAACATATGTGTACATCAGGCATGTTATGGCATCACAACTATTCCATCAGGTATAAGGGAGACCAATTAACAAAATATTTTCAATTTATTAATTTTAATTACTTGCTTCCAGGCCAATGGCTGTGTAGAACGTGTAATATGGGTAAGAAGCCTGAATGTGTTCTTTGTCCCAACAAAGGTGGTGCCATGAAATCAACAAAATCTGGGAAAAAATGGGCCCACGTTTCATGTGCACTATGGATACCTGAAGTTAGTATTGGATGTGTTGATCGCATGGAGCCAATAACGAAAATTTCAAGCATTCCACAAAGCCGATGGGCTTTATTATGTGTATTATGTCGAGAAAGAGTCGGAGCTTGTATACAATGTTCAGTAAAAACATGTAAGACAGCTTACCACGTAACGTGTGCTTTTCAACATGGCTTAGAAATGCGTGCCATTATTGAGGAAGGTAACGCAGAAGATGGTGTCAAATTACGATCTTATTGTCTGAAACATAGTGTAGGAAAAGGTAAGAAAGACAATAAAAATAATACGAATAATGGTGTAAGTGCTAACGGTTCTGAAACCGAAGACGATGATTGTCGGCGGAGCAGAAAGGTTCGTAAAGATATGACAACTGAGGAAAGAAATCAAGTTAGAGCACAAAGATTACAGGTAATTTAACTATATTCAAGAAAGTGTTGTACCTTGTAAAGTATTATTTTTTTTTAAATTGTGTTATTATAATTTACAATCATTATATACTATTAAAACGAAACCTTTCAGGAAGTTGAAGCTGAATTTGATAAACATGTTAATGTAAAAGATATTAGCTGTCACGTTCATGATATTGATCAAGACGCGATAACATATATTTATTACTACTGGATATTAAAGCGAAAACAAAATTATAATAGAGCCTTAATACCAGCTAAATCAGAGGACGTTGAAATACTCTCTAATAAACAAGACGAAGAAGAAGCCGAACAACGTCGCAAAGTCGTTCATTTGCGGCAAGATTTGGAACGTGTTAGAAATCTTTGTTATATGGTAAACAGACGAGAAAAATTATCACGATCATATTTCAAAACTAGTGAACAAATTTTCTATAAACAAACAGCAATTTTATCTACACTTTTAAATAAGGATAGCAGTAATACTAATAATATGATTAGTAATAATAGTAATAATGTTAATAGTGTTAATAGTAATCAAAATCAATCAGGTAATAATATTAGTAATAATAATAGTAATAATGTTAATAACGTCAATAATGCTAATAATAGTAATAATAATGATAATAATAACAATGATAACAATAACAGTAATAACAATATTAATAATAATATGAGTAATAATGCTCTTAATGACAGTAATATTAGTAATAACAACAATATTAGTATGAATAATGTTAATCTAAATAATAGTTATAATGTCTCTTCTGATGAATCTTTTATAAATGCGGTGTTGCATGCTAATAATGGTCCATCTGCTTATGATAAATTTTATTCAAGTGATGTCAATGTATTTGGCGATCCACCAAATTCCCAATATAGTTTAGAAGATATTCTTACAACTTTAGTAAGTCGAATTGATACATCTGTAAGTAGCTTAAAAAATACTCATAATTCCGATAACAAAAAAGTTGGTAAAGGTAATAATAGTATTAGTACTGCAAATGCAGTTAATTCAGGTATCAGTAGTAGTATTGGCAAAGCTAATAGAACTACTGCGTTAGGTATTAGTGATAGTAATGATGAATTGACAACAGCCAAGGGCAATAAATGCCGAGTAGGTAAAATGCCATATAAAAAATTGCAACTCAATGGAATGACAGATAGGAAGAAACGTTCTTCTGTTTTGTCAGCCAACAAAGGTGAAACACCTTCAGCTGTTGATTGTATTTATAGTAGTGATACTAGTAGTAGCGATAGTAGTTCGTCTAATTCAGATGATTCCGACGGTAGTAGTAGCAGCTCTGGAAGTTCATCCTCAACTACCAGCTCTGTACCTTCTCCCGAAAAGGATGTTATAAGCAATAGTAATAAAAAGACAACCATAACAACGGCAACACAGCGACCTAATAGAATTACCAATAGAAGTGCTAGTAAAAATTTAACAAATTGCAATAAGAAACAAACCTATGCTAGAACACAATCACAGAAACAACAACAAAAACGTAATAATAAGAAACAAGACTCAACAATTGTTGGTTCCAGTGAAGATGAGCAAAATATTTTAGAGCCAAATAAAAAGAAAGTCACTACTAATAAATCTAACAATAAGAAAATAACTGAAATTGCAGAACCTGCATCTAACTCAAAGAAAAATCTCCTATTACAGCAAATGGAGAAGGAATTTGCTAAAGATTATCAGAGTGATTCCAGTAATGAAAGTGAAGAGCTTTTGCCAATTAAAAATAGAACAAGTGCCCCAACAACAGGTGCAGATACCCGTAGTAAAACTGTTAATAAAAAAGTGCCAATATATTCGGATACAGACTCAGAAGAATCAAGTTCAGATGATGATGATAGTGACGACTCAAGTCAACGAGATAGTTCAAAAGGTGATAATGATAGAAGCAGCGCTAGTGATGCTACTTCAATTTCTGATAAAGAAAAAGAAGTTGATAACACTGTGACAGATCCACAACACCAAATGTTTAGAACAAAAGCTGCTATGAAAGAATTCAATTTGCAATCGGCTGCTGCAAATAAAATAATTAAACCAAATTCAATTGAACCTAAATTAAATAGGAAAACTGTTTCCGAAAAGAATAAGAGCAACATGCATTTATCTTCCTCAGATTTAAATAGTTCCATTGAAATTAGCTCATCTCCAACTAAGTCATTAAACAAGGCATCAAAACCTTCTTCAATTAATCAATCACAAAAAATGAAAAATGAAAAAGAAAAATCATTTGTAAATACGAAGGAACCAAATAAAAAGCCTTCAAGAGAACAAAGTAGAAAATCAAATACTAAAACAGTCAAACAACACTCAAACTCAACATCAAAACCACAACATACAGAAACCAAAATTAACCAAATATCTAAAACACCTAAGAATTTTCCAACCGACTTACTCGTTGTACCTCAAAGACAAGCGGCTAAGAAAGCATCGGAAAACATGCGTTCCAATAATGTTTATTCAGCTATGGCTATAGCGTCTAGTGCTGTTGGAGGTAGAAAAGATTCGAGAGACTCAAGGTTTGATGAAAAAGAAACTATTTCTGACAGGGTACCTCCTTTACCTTCACCGGTCAATAGTATAAAAACTGTTAAAGATCAAATTAGCGAATCTAGTGCTGCTAAAGATAAAGAAAATAAAGAAGAAAATGAAAGTAAAAAATTGTTTGAGAAAGAATTAAAGGATAAAATTAGTAAGGAAAAATCTGATATATCTATCGCAAAAGAAAGAGATAAAAGGAATGAGATTAGGGAAAGAACATCCAAACGTGGTCGGCCACCAAAAACCACAAAAGATGAAGTAGTCAAAGAAACCCAAAGCTCTTCAAAAGAAAATTCTCATACCAGAGATCAAGTTCAAAAAGAAAAATCTTCAACGAAAATCTTACCAAAATCAAGGCCTCCCAGTCCTGAACCTATTAAGACTTCTAGTTTAGTTGGTGAAAAAGAAAATTCGAAAGAAAACCTAAAAGATAAAACTGCAGGTAAAAATGTTTTAGCAAATGACTTGAGTAATTTAATGGCAGCCTTTGTACCTCAACGCCAAGCTGCAAAAAAGGCTGCGGAGCATATAAAAAGTGGCTTAAGCAAGCCCATAGCCACACCTGCAGATTTAGAAAAAGAGGCTGTCGAGCTTAAAGATAAGGAATCAAATACAAGATTGTCTTCCTCAACTCCTATTGGTTTGCTACCTAACGAAAAACCTTCTAAAGGTACAACAGAGGTCAGTAACGAAAAACAAACATCTTCAACAAGATCCACAACAACAGCATTAAGTAAGCCAATTACTAAAGAGAGTAGAACTTCAAGACGGTCCATAGCTGTTGTTAAAGCTGAAACCAAAGTCGAAAAAGAACAACCAATGCCAGTTAAGAAAACAAGACGTCAAAATTCTTCGAAGTCTGAATCAACTTCAGATTCTAGTTCTGTCAATTCGGATGATTCAGATAACGATTTAAGTAGTAGTAGTTCAGCAAGTTCTAGCTCTGAAGATGATAGAAGTGTGAAGAGGCGAAAAGAAGTAGTTATTAAAGAAAAGGAAAAAGAGAAAGAAAAAGAGAAAGAAAACGTAGCCAACATTAGAAATGTAAGAAGAAGATCAACATTTCAGCCAAGTACGCCACCAACAAAAATTTTGCCACCAAGACGAAAGAGCATGTTTATGGATGATCGTACGCCTATTGAAAATAAAGTTCCTGTTCCACCTTTAAAATCAACCGTTGTATCAGAAAAAGACAATCGTAGTTTAGTAAAGAATTTGGAAAAGAGTTCTTCTGAATTAGTTAAAATGTCACACGCTGAAAGTGAAAATCAAAATAAGAGCGAAATTTCAAAAGAAAACGCTATAAGTTTTGCAAATAAACATTTAGAAAATTCAAATCGTGATGTTAGTAATGATGATAAGATTGATATACCTATAGAAAATCTTATGATAAGTGATAATAAAGAAAATAATAATACCAAAATAATTGAATCCCAAGAGAAAACTAAAAACGAAATTTCTAATGAATATTCTGAAAAAATTATACCTCAAACTGATAATCTGATCTTAGATTCAGTGATGTCAAGTAATGCAAATAGTGAAGATAAAAGTAAATTACAAGAAATTACGAATTTAGAACAAATTGAAAAAATCGATGATTTAACTAAAACGGAAAAAGATGATGTAATCCAATCAACTAAAAGTAATGCCCAAAATGCGTTGCAACAAACTGACGAAAAAGAAGAAACAAAATCTATATTAAATTCTGATTTAAATAACCAAAACATTACGGAAAAATGCAAGGAACCAAGAGAGATTTTACGAGATAACGACTTACATTCACCTAAGCCAAAAGAAAACGAAGTTCCTTGTTTATCGCCTCAACATGAAAACCAAAACGAATCATCGCCATCTGAAGACGAACTTAAAACGCCAATGTCACCAATAATTGAAATACCGCCAACGCCAAGGCTTCCAGTACCAACTGAATTAGATCCACATCCATCCAATTTGACTGTGGAAAACATGGATATTGAAGAAATTGATAATGGAAAAATAATCGTTAACGATAGTATTATAGAAATGACTAAAAAGTATTCAGCTATGGAAAAAGAAATGGAATTAATGAAAGAGAAACCCGCAACACCTACTTCCATTCTAGATCTCAAAGAAAATAATAAGGTAATAAATGAAAAGTGGCCAATAACAAATTCTGAAATCATTGAAGTAATCGATTCATCTGAATCAGCCCAAAGTATAAAAAGTATTACTGGCACATCTAATAAAACCGATGATAACCTTAAAGAAATCCCTGAAATCGATGATATTGAGCCTACTAATAATTTTAATTCATTTGTTCGTCGAAAATCAATTGACCGTGAAGATTTGTATGCCATTGACGAAGATAATTTAAATTTCGGTGAAGATAATCAAAGCGGCATCAAGAAAACAACATTTGCTGAAGAAGATTTCGTCAATACAACTTCGGGTAATGAAAATATTGAAAATACTTTGAATAATAAAACTGTCGAAGCAGTTCTTAATAATGACACAGGATGTGTTACTAAACACAAAATACGAGAAAATGCCTTTGAATTGTCTGATTCACAAAATAAATTTTCAGAAAATATATTTGATGCTGATTTAATTGAATTACCACCACCAACTCCATCTATTTTCAGTGATGAAAACGTTGAGAATTTGATCGTTTCTTCTGTTAATAAAGAAGAAGATAATGCAAGGGAAACAATGAATCTAGTAGAAAAATTGCGACAACAAAAGAACAAGCGAGCAGCTGGAAATAAGGCTATGGGGGCAGATATGCAGTCGGAATTGACTTCAACAGTGGATACCATGGTGTGTAATACGAATTTAAATAATCAAAATAACGCACAAAAAGAAGATAATAATATGCAACAGCATAATTTTCAATTACCATTGGATCAAATTCATAAACATCCGGATCCTAATACTATTGTACCTAATCGAAAAGATACTCTACCGTCTTCATTACCACAATCGTCTGAATTCCCGTCGGACATATATAATAGTTTTCAGAATAATAACTCAAATAACAACCAAAATCAAACACAAAATGTTACAAGTAATATGGTTCTTAACAATCAAATTTCAATGACTCCCTTTTGTGGAGGAACCCCAGATCAGAATAATTTCCAGAAAAGTGTTGAGCAATCGCCTATTAATCCGTCTCCTATTGGTCCACATACACCAATGGGTCCATCCCCTTTAAGTACTCAAGGAGCTCAAACACCATTAGGATCTCACACTCCATTAGGCCCACAAACTCCAATGGGACCACAAACCCCTCACAGTCAACACACGCCTCAAACACCTTTAGGACCACATACGCCACATACACCACATACACCGCACGGCCCCTCGCCTCATGGTCCTCACACTCCCATGGGACCATCTCCTTTAGGGCCACATACTCCTCAAACTCCGCTAAATCCACCATCAACACCGTCTTCTATAATTTGTCCATCATCTCAAGATCAGCAGCACAGCATCATATCACCTAATGCCAGGTCTGACAAGAGTCGCCAACAGCAACATTCGAATCAACGGAACAAGAACTTGTCCGATACTCCAAATGAGTGTTTTGACAGTTTATCAACCTCTACATTTTTCAAAAATCGAGATTTTGTCGATATGCACCAGCAAATTACAAAAGACTCAACCTCATTACGCTCTATTTCAAGCATTAACAATACTGATAAAGAACATAATAGATCTTTACCTGATTGTGAGTATGATGATTCAAGTAGAATGCAGTCACCATTTAATATGCACCCTCAAAATATTTGGAATGAAAATAATTTAATACAAACTAGAAGGTCAGTATCAACATCCCCAAGTTCAATTTCAGAATCGAATGATGGAACTGAGCAAAATAAACTTATTAGTCGAGATATTTCTTGCAATAAACCACAACAAGCAAACGTACTGCAATCTGCGTTGTGTAATCAACAAGCTGTTGAAAACAACTTGGTGAAAGCTCAGCCAAATTTTTCAAGTGCATTGCAGCAACAGGCTCATTTTGATATGACTCAACCATATCAAATTCCACCACAAAATCAGCAGCCATCTTCTATGTCCATGAACGGGCCAGATATCATGGCACCATATAATTACCAGGAAACTAATCAGTTTAATGATAATTCTGTGAGTATGTATCCATCGCATCCATCCCAGCAACAACCGCAACCACAACAATTGAATAATCAAATGGCTGCTTTCACATCACCAGGAAGTGTGAATAATCCAAATATATTTTCTCAACAAATGAGGCAATATACGCCACCTAATACAAATCAAAATGCCGCGCCATCGATATTTGGTGCACCAACAAATGTTGTAGGAAATTCTTCTAATCATTTGCACCCAAAGCAACAGCCGCAAAATATGCTCACATCTCCTCCCGTCCACATAGATTCAACTTCTCCATTCCATATGAATCAACAGTCCTGTGTTGTAGCTAATGCGTCAACTAGTCAAAATAATACTGGAGCAAATGCGTTTACGTCATCAAGCGCAAATATGGTTTTAAATGCTGCTCTTGTTTCCACTCAATCATTACTATCGCAAAATCAGCAACAAGCACAACAACAGTCTAATTATGTTGGTCTTTCTGCTAATATGGGATCTTTAGTTAATCATATATCACAAAATTCAATGCTCAATAGTTGTGACCAGAACAAATCTAATATTAGTCCTATGGGGCCGGTTATTGGTCATCAATCGCCAACCAAACCCCCTTCACGAAATAGTTGTAATACCGCCGGACGTCATTTCACGCAAAATCAAATTAAATCGCCACAAATGCATCGTAGTCCAGGCAAAAGTCCACGTCAAATGGAGCTTTTAAATAAAAATAATTCAAGTAATGTTACTAACAAACAAATGAAACAAATGGGCCAGGATATGGACCGCCCTACTGAACGAGTAAGAAAGCCTAGAGGAAGAGGTACAGGAGCAGGACGACCAAGAGGACGAGGACGTGGCCGTGGTAATAACTCCAATAGATTACTGCCAGTACCACCGCAAATTCCTCATGCTCTTGTACACGAATTTGAAGGTCCATTAGTAGGATCAATACAGAATAATTTGGCTGGAACCGTTTACGACTTAGATTTTGATGAAGATTTCCGTAGTAATGTTGAAAATTCAATTAAATCCTTGCGTGATAGAAGACGTTCATTTGACTGTAGAAATCAGAACCAAGTAAATAACAATCAGGATTCGATGAAATTTAATAGCCCAGCTTTTGGCAATAAAATTAGAAACTCAGTTAATACTCGATTATTACCAGAACTGAAACCTCAACCATCAAATCAGACATCTTCAATTGATAGCGCGCTTAGCACAACTTCATCATTACATATACACCCAGTTCTTCCAGGTCCAGTTGACATGAGAACATACAATTCTGGTTTCGAAAGTCATAACACATTGTCTTCCAGTCAAGATAGTTACAATAGTAGTCATAATTTGTTAAGAGAATTTGCTACAGGCACTGCTGATCATCCTTTGCCCGAAATAGATGAAGAGGATGAAAAAGAATTCCAATCAGCTTTGAGAGCTAGCACAACTGTTAAAATTAAACCTTCTTCTCCTCAATTGCATCGGCAGCATTTACAAGAACAAAATGTCCATGAGCAACATTTACAAGAACAACATTTACAAGATCGACGTTTGCAAGATATGCAGTTGCAGTTGCAAGGAAGACAATTAGAAGACCAACAATTGCAAGAACGGCAGTTACAAGATCGCTTACTGCAAGAGCGTCTTCATAAAGAACAGGAAGAAAAAGAAAAACAAAAGGAAGCAGAAGCTGAAGATCGACGACAAAAAGAAAGGCAACGACGAGAAGATGAGGAAAAAAGATTATTGCAACAAGATCAGCAGTCGCTCAGTAATGCTAGTACTGCAGATAATCCAACTCCCACGCCTATGGTATCAAACACATTGTCTACGGTTTCTTCCGATTTACAAATTTCTATGGAAACTACTTCTGAAGAAATATCGATCGATTCAGATACAATGACTGTTAAACAGTCTTTGTCTGATTCTAGAAATCAGCTCAAATTGAAAATCAAAGGACCATTAGCACATGCAGTCAGCTATAATTCGTCATCCATATCTTCCAGTCATACCCAAGCAGTGCAATCACAATCTGAATCGTTGCCGATAAATCAACCATCAATGACAAGCTCTGGATCTGGGGGTGGAAGTATTCGCAGAATGCGCAAAAAAGAACTTTTACGGCAATATGTATTCCAGGATATGAATCAAGAAGATTCTGTAGGATTACCAGGAACCGCAGATAACACTTTATCGTTTGGTTTAGATCAATCAAAAATCGAACTCCCAAAACAATCAAATGATTCTATTTTGTCATCCTTAATAGCAAGCAAAGATGATGAAAGTCTCAAAAGTCGTAAAAAGACACCTGGTTGTGGAAGGGAATTACGTCAACTAGAAACAAAGAATTATGATTTGGAACAACGATCATCAGAAAGAAGGCGAAGTAGCGCTTGTTCATCAGGAAGCAACAGTGACTTAAATATCAAAAATTCTACAAAACGTCGAAGTAAAAGTAAACAATCAGATGGTATCGTTCCAAATCCTGTTAGTGGTGTTTCAAATGAGCTTATTGACCACCACGTAGTAGAAGAGCATGATGCACCTTTGAAAATTAAAATCCGCAATAATGCTGTGGAGCCAGCGACCTCATTTCCTCCAAAGAAACGTAGAATTTCTGCATCTAATTTCTCAGTTCCTAGTTTTGAAATGTTAAAACGAGATAGCATGATGTTTAGAAAACAAGTAATGGCATCGTATGGGGATCCGGAGGATAATCCACAACTTGTACAGAAAGTTAAATCCCATAAAGTGAAAAATAAGGATAAAGACCGTGATAGAGAAAAGAAGAAAAAGCATAAGGATAAGGATAAGGAAAAATATCATCAGCATCACTATCACCATCACCAGTTTCAAGAACACCATTTGCACCAGCAGACACACGATGAAATTGAAGTTAAACAAACCATGCCTACGAAACTTATTATCAAGCTTAAACGTAGAGCCGATGATGATCAATTATCACTCGGTGGCACTACCACTGATGGGAATGAAAGTACCACTTTTTCAGTGCGTTCAGCTTCTCCATTGCCAAGCTGCAGCAGTAATAACAGTCAAATGGGTGATATAAATAAAGGTCATATGACATCAACTTCAGGCAGTGGCAGCGGTATTGGTGGATTAAAATTAAAAATTAGTAAAAAATCAGATGGTTATGTGATTGGCGATGAAATGTATTCAAAAAGTAGTAGTAATAAAGATAGTTATAAATACGGTAGTACAAATCCAGCAAAAAAATCAAAATCAAGTACAAAATCAAGTTCCAGTAAAAATAGAAGCAGTAGCACAAATTCATCAAAATCTTCGTCATCATCAATGTTACAAATCACAAACGAAAATAGTAATAGTTGTCCAATAAATAATAAAAACGAGTTAATTGATAATAAAAAAATTCCGGTTGTAGTTTTAACGCAAACTCCAATACCTGCAAGCGCTGTTGCTAAATTACATTATAGTAGATCAAGAAGTCATAGTCGTACAAGTACCCCAGATTCAATACGTAGTTCCGCAAGTTTAATTTCATCATCAGCAGCGGGAACAGCTACAATACCATTTAATAGTGCTAATGATAATATGGATGATAATGGTAATAATGATGATATTATAGGTGGTGATGATGGCATAAGTATTGGTGGACGAAGCCGAGATTTTAATATTGGTAGTGAAAATAATAATGGTGCAATAATTAATTCCCTAACATCAACGCCTATTGATAAAAATTTTATTGAACCAAGCAATGATAGTAGAAGTCATATGAATTTAGAAGATAGTAATAATAGCACAAATTCTATGAATCAACCATTACTTATAAATAAAAATAATGATTTATCAGCATCAATAATAGATAATACAAATATTAATTTAAATTTAACATCAACAATAAATTCAACAACAACAGCAGAACAACAGCAACAATTTACATCATCAATAACAACAACAACAACGACATCAATAACAATGCTAGAAACAACATCAGTTATTAGAGAAAATACAAATATAACTGGTGGTAATATAAATAATTCAATATTAAACTCCGACAACAATAATTCTAATAATTTAATTTCAAATACAACATTAGGCTTATCAAATAATGATAATATCCTTCCCTTCAATAAAGACTGTGAGATTAGATGATAATAAATTTAAGTTGGGATTTTATTTAAATAGCAAATCTTATAAAGAATATAAAAATAACCATAACTAGTTAAATATAGAATATCTTTCGACATTTTAATTTAAAGATTTTAAAACAATTTAAGATATAGGGTAAACTGGGAACCAAATGTTTTTTCCAACTATTATATTTTTTTTTTTTTTTTAATAATATTTGAAAGTTTGAATTATTTTTTTTTTCTACATCAAATATTTATAATATTACATGTAAGGTGCGGAAATCTTTAGAAAAACTTTTCATCAAATTTTAATAATATATAGAAATTAAAAATAAATACCTTTAATTAAAGGCTCAACATTCTTATTAAAAATTTCATAATATTTTATATTGGTCATATTTTTCATAATATTGGTTATATTAAAACTTAGTACATGTATATACAAAATTTTCTCTATGAAATAAACTTACAATATTTATTAATTTTAATAATTTTATTTATTATTTAGATATGTAATTTTTTTAAAATGTATTTGCATATTTTAAAAACCTTTCTTTTTTAAAGTTTCATTTACTTTAAAAATCAAGAAACTAAAAAAAGTTGTTAAAATAAATATTCAAAGATTTTAGGATATGTGCTCTAAAAATTTTATAAATAATTTTTAAATATGAATTTATTGTAATGAATAAATTAATTTACATTTGAATGGAAATTTTAATTATTAAGTTTTTATTTTTAAATATTAAAAATAGTGTACTTAAATTTTTTTTTTGTTTTGTATCAGTTCATTTCTATTTCGTTAAATCCATAACAAATATTTTTTACAATTTCAAATTATTTATTTTTTATTATATATGTTAATTTAAGTAAGAGAATAGTTACAATATTTAATTCATTTCTTTCCAAAATAGAAAGTCTTAATAAATTTCATTAAGTTAAAAGGAAAATAGTAACAAAATATTGAACTAAATTTTGTATGTATTTTTCACTAGTAAAACAAATTAATATTTTATTTCAATTTATCTTATAAATACATAATATTGAATTCAATATATTGGAAAATTTTTCATTAAAACAGCAAAAATATTTCATTTAAAATTAAATATAAAATGAATATGAAATCATTTTTTAAAATGAAGATTTATTGAAAATTAATCAGAAAATCTAAGATAATAAACTATGAAGGAATTAAAAAAAATTATCATTTATTCAAAAAAAAAAAAAATTCCAGAATTTTTATGGTTTATACATTTTTAACTCAAAATTTACTAAAAATATAATTTTTTATATAGAAAAAATACTCTTGAAAAAAGTAAATGAAAAATTAAAGAAGGGCGCTATTTAAATTTATGTAAAATGCATATTATTTACCTTTATAAATATATGTAACTTTATTTTATAAGGAATTTATTTGTTATCATAAAATTTATGATTTAAAAAATTTTTATATTTTTTTACTCACTTGTTTTTTTCTAAATTTTTCAATAACAAAAACATGAATTTCAAAGAGGTCCTTATTCACATTTCATTTTATATTTTGTATGTAATAATATTGTAAGCGTAAAATCATTTTAATTTTTTTATTTATTTTATATGAAGTTTCAAAAGAGAAAAATTTAAGTAAGATAACAAAAATAAATTAAGTAGATAAATTAAAATGAAATTAAATTATAAACTTTTTAAAAATGTTACTATAAAACTTTTTATTAAAGTAAAATGATCGAAAAAAAAAAAAATTTAAAAATAAGAACAAAAACAAAAAATATAAAATCGTAAAAAGAATCATCGGAGAGACCAATAAAAAAATAATTCATTAATATTATTATAAAATATATACGTATATACATATATATATATAGAAATAATAATTTAATAAAATAAACACAACAAAATTGTTCTAAAATAAACTAAAATTTAAGACTTAAATGTGAAAAATAAATTAAAAAAGAAGAAAAGAAGAAAATTAAATTTACTGAATATTAAAAAAAAAGTATGAAAATTAAGACAAATAAAAATATCATTAGTGTTGGTTCATTTTGTTTTTTTCATTTAGTTTTTCTGTTAAACAAAAAATTCAAATTAAATTAAATTAAAACAAAAATAAATTAAAAAAAAAATTCAAAATAAGTAAAAATTTTGTTTAAAAAAAAAAATAAAACATCTGAGATGTAAAAACTCAAAAAAAAAATGTATTATTTTCAAATTTGAAAAATTTTATTAATGGGCATTGTAGATTTTATTAAAAAACCAATAAATTATGGCGTATAAAATAAATAAAATAAAAGCGATTTATGATGGTGTAAAAAAATGAGATGATGCAATAAATTTCATAGAAATCAATTGATAACATTTTTATATAATATATATTATATATATATATATATATATATATAAGTTCCAAAAATATTTTGTTTATATAAATAATAAATAATAAAAATTGAGTTGAATCTAAAATATATATTTATTTTTCATATATAAATTTATAAATTTATTTTAATTAATTGAAAATTCAAAAATTATAATTCTTAAATTTGTATTTGGTTTATTTTAACTATTAATTATTTCAATTATATTAAATTTTTATTTTTTTTATGTTTCAGTAATGTTTAAATTTTATATATTTTTGGTTTCCGTCCCCTTAAATACTTAAAACATAATAATATTTTGATAATGATTTTTCAATATTTTATTATAATTGATAATGTTAATTTCATAGTTGATAAAAAATAATATTGTAAAATGAAAGTTTTAATATTTAATGTTTTTATTTGTCAATATTTAATTGTCTTTTTATTAAATTGATTTCATTATCAATATATTAAAATAATATAGTAAAAAAATTTTTTGTATTGTAAATTAATTATGATAAAATTGTCGTTAAGAATAGTCCGACTAGAATAAAAAAAATATATTTTCAATAGCTTTTATTTTCTATTTATTATTTTTAAAATACAAAATGGTTTTCTGTATTCAAATTTTCTTTGAGCATTAAAAAAAAAATTTTGATATTCACTTCTTTTTTATTTTTTTAAATTCATAAGAAAGTTATTTTTTAATAATTTTTTTTTTTGTTTTCAAAATTAAAGCTGCGGGATCAGCGTTTTTTTTTTTGTTTTTTTTTTTTTATAAATTTGTATCTTATATATATTATATTGAATATATATACATATATATATATATATATATATAAATATTATATAATTGTACACACGCATATATCATTTTTGTAATTTGTAAAATTTTTGTAATCGTCCAATTATGAATATTTCAATTAATTAAAATAAATTTTAAATTTTTATTTTTTTTTTTCTCTCTATATAAAAATAAATATATATTTAAAAATATTAAAATGAAATGAAAACAACTTTTTGTATTATTTATAATTCAAAATAATTTATATAAACAAAACAAAAAAAATAAAATATTTAATAAGCGAATGTTCATACGAAGAGTTCAAAGATACAAAAGTAAAAGAAATTTAAATAAAATCTGGAAATTATGCATATTAAAAAAATACTTATATACATATAAATGTATGTCATGTTTATATTTTAGTTACATACATAAATATGTATTTAACATATTATTTGTTTAGAATGGAAAGGTATTGTAATTGTCAATTAAAAACAAAAAAAAAATTATTATATAAAACTAAAAAAAAAATGCAAAAAAAAAAAATATTTCAAATTTAACAGAAATGTTCATAGTGTAAATGTTAAGCAAAAAAAAAAAAAATTATAAATTATTATAAAAAAAAAAGCTACCTTTTTATTGCTAAATTATAAAAAGTAAAATAATTTACAACAAAAATTAATAATTAAAAAAATCTTAAAAAATTAGTCTTTATTTCTTTTCTTGTATATATGTATATCTCTAGATTTATAAAATAATTATATAATAAAAAAAAAATACCACATAACAATACGATTAATTAAATTAAGTTAAATAAAAAATTGTAAATTAAATAACTTATACAAGAGAAAAAGAAAAAAACAAAAAAAAAATTAAATTAAAATATAAATTATAAATGAAAATCATTTAATTATTTAAATTTAAATTTAATTAAATTATAATGAAAAAAAAACATATAAAAAAAAAAAGCAAAAATGTTTGTAATTAAAAACATTTTTTTTTTTGTTTTGTTTTGTGTAAAAATTATGAATATTTTTAATTCGTTTTATTTAAAAAAAAATTTTTGTATATAATAATAATATCCAATTATACATGTATATAATATTTTAATATTTAAGAAATCATAAAACAAAACAAGGAAATCAATTGAAATTAAGATATTCTTAATAATAAAAATAAAAACAAAGAAATACATTAGAACATCTTAATGAATAAATTAAAAAATCATTAAACAAAAAATAATAAAAATCTAATTAATGTAATACAAAAAAAAAAAAAGAAAAAAAAATAGCAATAATTATAAAAATAGGTAAGATAAGATGATAAACAAAAAAAAAAAAAATAAAAAAAAAATTATTAGTAATTGTGTAATACGTGTATTATTGAAAAAAAAAAAAAAACAAAATTTAAATTATATCATTAAAATTATCTCATTTTGATATAAAAAAAAAATCCAAATAAATTAATGAAAATATAAATAAAATATTATAATAAAATAATTTAATGATTTTTATATATATTATGTATTTGTATATATATATCGCATTAATATATATATATATATATACAAATGCGTATTATATAATATAAATCAATTTAAAAGATGTCACTATTTATATTTTTTAATTTAATTTAATATTTTTTTTAATATTATTATTATTATTATTATTATACATTTTATATAAATTATAATAAAAAAAAAAAAAAATACAAAACATATTAAATATATTTTTGAGCAAAGTGTCTTAATTTTATTATTAAAATTATAAAAATAATTATATGATAAAAAAGTAAATATATTATAAATAAATAAAAAGTAATTATATAAATAAATAAAAAAAAAAAAGAAAATACATATAAATACACACACATACATACACAAACACACACACATTTTCCCTAATTTATTTTTGTTTTCTTATTTTTCTTTTATTTTATTTTTTTTTTTTTTTAATTATTATTATTATTACTATTAATTGATTAATGTATAGAAGAAAAATAAAACCAAAATTTAAGAAAAAAACGAAAAAAAAAAATGATGTTTTAAAATTTTATTTATTTTTTTCTTTTCAATTTCTTAATATTATAGGAAAAAATTTGAATCAATTTCAAATAATAATAATTATGAATTTCATTTTTATTAATATATATATGAATATTTGAATTCATATTTTAATAAAAGAAATACAGAATTTTAAAAAATTTTAATAATTTATGCATACGGCTTTTTTAAATGATGACTTAATTGAGCTTATATACATATATAAAATTCGAATTAAATTTTTAAACATTTTAGTATTTCTAAAATTTTTTTTTTTATA